CCTCCCGTGCTTCCCATAACCCCAAAATCCCCCCCAAATCTCCCCAAACCTCCCCAAACCTCCCCAAATCCCCCTAAACCCCCCCAAATCCCCCAAACCGCATCCACTCAACACCTCCTGTGCCCCCCACAACCCTCAGGCCGGGGGGGCTGGGAGAGGAGGAGGAGGAGGAAGAGAAGGAGAAAAGGAGAAGGAGGAAAAAGGAGGGTGAGGAGGATGAGGAGGAGGTGGAGGAAGAGGAGGAAGAGAAGGAGAAAAGGAGGATGAGGAGGAGGAAGAGGAGGAGTAAAGGAGGGCGAGGATGAGGATGAAGAGAAGGAGAAAAGGAGGATGAGGATGAGGATGAGGAGGAGGAGGAGGAGGAAGAGAAGGAAGAGGAGAAAAGGAGGGTGAGGATAAGGATGAGGGTGAGGATGAGGATGAGGGTGAGGATGAGGATGAGGATGAGGATGAGGATGAGGATGAGGATGAGGATGAGGATGAGGATGAGGAAGGGGTGCAGCCTCCCTGGAGCAGCCCAGTGACCGTGGCCAGGCTCGGGGGTTTGGGGGTACCACGGAGCTCCTGTTAAAGGGGCCCGGGCAGGGCTGTGGGGAGGGGGCCGAGGTTTGACAGGCTCATGACAGGAGTGCAGCCACACCCGCCCACCCTCGAAACCCAGCTCCAAATGCCCCGAATATTTGTGATTTCAGCCCAAATGAGTCACGCGCCCCCGGCTCCTCCGCCCGCACGGACAATCCCGGGGAGCCGGGGGGGTTCGGCACCCCCAAACCCCCGGGGCCATTCCCCTGGCAGGGGAGGGGTTAATGCTGCTCCAGGCAGCCCCTCTGCCCCCCAAAACCATCTCTGCACCCCCAGGATCTCCCCCCCCGCCCCATAGATGGGGGAAGAGAGCAGTGACCGCCCCAAAGGGAAACCTCAGCCCCCCCAAAGCTCTCGGAGCCCCCCAAAATCCACAACCGGAGAGAGCCGGGGAGGCACCGGGGGCAGGAACCGGGGGCAGGAACCGGGGGCACGAACCGGGGGCAGGAACCGGGGGCACGAACCGGGGGCAGGAACCGGGGGCAGGAACCGGG